ATGTTGCGTCCGTATATGATAACTAATCTTGTATTCTTTTCCAGTTGGGATTTCATGGCTTGCTGTACCAGATAAACACACCAACGTAGAACAAGGACGTCCTTTTAGCCTGCGCTGGCATTACAAGATGGACGACAACGAAACATTTCTGTCCTCTGAGATTGAATTTTTTGTAGACACTAAACCATACCCCATGACCATGGCTTCAAGACATATGGGAGAAAATACGTATTATAAACATCAAAGAAATGATCCTTCATTCTCAATTTTTGGTAAATATAACGTTACCCTTTCTGTGCGGCACAGTGTTGAGATTGGACATAATATCACATACTGTTTTGAAATATGGTGGACATCAGTAGCTGCAAGAGGAAAAGAAAGAAAGTGTTCTAAAATATTCGTTTATGGTAAATATTATTACAGTTGCAGTTGCATAATTATTCTTTAAATAATTTGATAAACGATTATACATTTCCTAGGTCCAAGTCCCTTGTCTTTTCCAAATTGGTTCTTATGATTTTTTTTGTTTTAATTTCTAACTTTAATTTAATTCAATTTATATATATATATACATATTTAAGCCGAGCCACAGATTCCCTATCATATACCACTACTGTCCTGTAAGCAAGGCGATTCCATCAAACTACAGTGTAATACAACAGGGATCCCATCACCACATGTTGAGTGGATCCATGATGATACCCATCAACGGATTGGCAGCTCTTCAGATATTTTATTGAACATAACTGGCAAAAGATCAGGAGGGCGATATTGTTGTAATGCAGATAATGGATTCGGTAGAGATACAGCCTGCACAGTAGTAAATGTCACAGGTATGCATAGAATTATTATAGCATTTTGCATGACGCATTGTAACAAACGATGTAACAATGTATAACATCATCACTCATGAAGGCTGTGTGAATAATTGTACTGAAAAAATGTCATTCAAATATCGAGCCTCAGCACAACTCTATATATCTGCATTAAGAGTAGTATGCTTAAATAAAGTCGAAAGCTTGGCTGATTGAGCGTTCAAGAAGTAGATGACTGAGGTACAAATCAAAGTTAATGTTCTATTGTCTTTTTTAACGATATAACCTGTTCTCATGGTATGGTTTCTTACCCAAGTACGTAAAATATACAGTAAATGGCAGGTTACTTGAACTGGGTCATGGATTGATACCAGGTACAAGGAAGGATGCCATACTATCCGATAGTGTTGAAAACATGCTAAAAAAGATGTTGGTAAAGCGTAACTGGAATTTTAAAAAAATGTACATTTCAAGTCAGTTCACCTCGTTAACGCGGTTGCTAAAATAAACGTTTTTAATGTGTAAATGTAATATATTGCAAAGCTAATCACTGGCTGGTTGTTTGACTTCAAAGCTCTTTTACCTTTGCTTTCAGAATATGAGCCGGTGAATACAAGGCTGGTAGTTAAACAGAAAAACAGAGGCGATGTCATTATCATTCACATAGAATGCAAAGCTGTTGCTTCGCCTCCTGCCAAACATTTCATAATGACAATTGATAACAAACAATACAATTCGAGTAATGGTGTAGTCGAAGTACCAGCTCCAAGCACAGACAAAATATACCACATAGCTGTGAGTTGCATTCCATTCAATAAATATGGACAAGGGCCAACCATGGAAGTTGTTTTTTCAGTGTACGGTAAGAGAACAGAAGAAAATGAACAGTTTTATGCCAATCAAAAACAAGAAGAAAAAAATCTAATATCAAATCGTGTGTGGTCATACATATATTTTGTGTGCTCATTGCTTGCTGAATGCAACGAGTTTGGTTTCATTCTAGCTCCCTCTGAGATTTATCCTCATTTAAGGTAACGTACGAAAAGACAACCCCTTTCCTAAAAAAATAGCAATACGTGTATAAGACACAAAGAAACAAAAACAAAAACGCACACACCACACACACACAAACAAAAAAATAGATAAACGAACAAACAAACAAAAAAGCAAAGCACTGTTAATAAAATGAAGTCCTCTTTTTGTTTTGTTTTTGCGAGCCAGCTCCTCCAACCTTCATAACTCCACTACCCACGTTTTACACTATGACTATCAGCGGCATAACTATGAAATGCGAAACAAAAGGAATCCCAACTCCAACTATTACATGGATCAGTGGGGATTCAGGAGATATTGTAAGCACTGGAATATATTACAACGTCTCGTATGTAAAGTGTACTACAAAAACGATGACGTTTTTCTGCAACGCAAAGAACGAAATTGGGAACATCAGTAGCCCAGAAATACGTGTTAATGGTAAGGAACTATTTATAAGATATACAACTAATG